ATAGCCGGAATACGTCCGGATAAAGTCCGAAATAGCCGGATTAATCCGGATAAAGTCCGAAATAGCCAAAATACGGCCGGAGAAAATCCGAAATAGCTGGAATACGTCCGGATAAAGTCCGAATTAGCCGGAATGCGTCCGGATAAAGTCCGAAATAGCCGGAATACGTCAGGATAAAGTCTAAAATAGCCGGATAAAGTCCGAAATAGCCGCAATACGTCCGGATAAAGTCCGAAATAGCCGGATAAATCCGTATAAAGTCCGAAATAGCCGTATTGCGTCCGGAATAGTCTGAAATAGCCGGAATACGTCCGGATAAAGCCCGAAATAGCCGGATTGCGTCCGGATTAAGTCCGAAATAGCCGGATTGCTTCCGGATAAAGTCCGAAATAGCCGGATTGAGTCTGGATAATGTACGAAATAGCCGGAATACGTCCGGATAAAGTTTGAAATAACCGGATAAAGTCCGAAATAGCCGGAATACGTCCGGATAGAGTCCGAAATAGCCGGATTACGTCCGGATAAAGTCCAAATAGCCGGAATAGTCCGTATAAAGTCCAAAATACGTCCGGATAAAGTTCGAAATACCCGGATCTCGTGAAATCTCGCGAGATATCGTGAAATGTCGCGAGATCTCGTGAAATCTTGCGAGATCTCGTGAAATCTCGCGGGATCTCGTGAAATTTCGCGAATCTCGCGACATTTCACGAGAACTTGCGAGATTTCACGAGATCTCGCGAGATTTCATGAGATCTCGCAAGATTTCACAATATTTCATGAGATCTCTCGAAATTTCGCGAGATGTCGAGATATAACGAAATCTCGCGGGTTTTTACGAGATCTAGCGATATTTCACATTGCAACAGCGAAGTATTGTCGGATTTCTAGTTTACATTAAATTGAAATGTATGAACGTTTTGAGGCCACTTCCCAGCTCATCGAATATGAAGGTATCACCGAATTTCAGGTCCCTGATCTATTCTATTTATAAACTATCTGCTTTTTAAATACTTAATTTAGAAAACAAAATTGCCATTGAGATCAACAAATCTGCAAGAAACAATAGTGAGTATATACGATTGAAAGTTGCTGGGATATTCATCGCAATGCTGGTACTAAATTGAGATGCAGGTGCAAGACGCTATGGGACATTGAAAGGCGTAAATCGAGATGACGTATTACATATACACAAACCAAAACAGTAATACTCGTACTCATATGAGCTAATAACCCTCAAAATAATCCCCTAAGGCGTCCACACGTTTGGCAACGATGAGAAAGGCATGGAATACCATCAGCTGTGTGATGTCTATGCGCGCCTCCTCTTGTCGATGAACTTTAAGGATGTCCTCCCTGTTGGCAAATCGCTTCCTATGCCTCCCACGTAGTGGGGTCTTCATTGTTGGAATGAGATCAAAGTCGCACGTACTGAGATCTCCCACTCCCACCGCCGCACAATGTTCTGGACTCAGGCTGCAGTTGGCTTATTGCATCGTAAGGGAGTATTGCAGTGTACGATGCATTTGTGTACAGCAGTAAGTGGCAATGGCAGTTTGGCCCTCACGAACAGGATGATACACGAGAATACCTTGGCTGTCATAACCTTATGTTTTTGCGGTAAACAATGGATCGTAGTGAATGAAGCAATGGATCGTAATGAAACGAAGGATCGTAGTGAATCACGACGCCATTCATTTGACCACCTCTTTAGTTCATACGCTCGTGCCCACGTTTTATCAATTGCAATAATGCGATTCGTTATCAAGGATATTCTTAAGATATTCGATTATCTGGGGGTTGTGCAACCTAAGCACGAGCCGCCACTGGTTTGTCTATCGAAGATTCGCCCCCCCCCCCTCACTAAACTGTTGAGCAGGTGTGAAAAATTCCATTCTCCCGATATCAGAGAAAGTTAGAATTACTCAATAGCCTGAGCTACATCCCCATAAATTCTCCCACTAATTTATTTAGTTGGTAGTTACTATTTTTATTTTCTTTCTTGATACAATAACATGCTTGTTTTGTGTGTGGTTTAAAAAAAGTTTGTGTTCTTTTAATCAGAAAACAGATTCAATAAGTCTGTGTTGTAGGAAAGAAAGAATTAGTGTATTTTAAAGTGTAAGGCCTAAGAAGCTGTGATTTTTCACATTAACAAACAGAAAATTAACTTAACTTAATTTATTTTATTATAAAAGCATAAGTAATTTCTCACCATTAATACTTTCCTGCAATTTACATAAATTTTTCATGGACATTTGAAAAATGTAAAAGAGGGGTTTTGATGTAACCATAAAAGCATGAAGAGTTCTTAAACAAAACTGCTAATGAAGTTTGGGGCCCAAATTCTTCCACGAAACATCTCCCAGGTTTGTATGACAATCAAACATTCATTAAAATAATAGGAAATAATGGCACAACATTTTCAAAACTTCTGTTGTAATTAACAAAAATGTATTTACAAAATAAAATAATTAAATGTAACATTTCACTTTCTCTTCTTTTTTCCTTTGCCAGGCTTAGGACCTTGCCCAGTGATGGTCGCCGTTTTTCTTGCAGCAATCTTACTATTGACAGAGTCGAGTCTTTTCTGAACATTTGCTCTAAAAACACAAATGAAACATGTTCACAAAACACACATATAATGAAATTAATACAATTTTAAACACATCTTGAATAAATGAACATTTTAAATTTTGAATGGAGAAAAAAGCACTTACTCATATCTCAAACGTTTTACTCCTTTTCTACTAACATCTGTAAGATCAGTAACAAAGGACGATTTTTTCTTCCTTGAACCTATGAACACAAAATGATTGATTACGTATATACTACACTTAGTGTAAACTGTTGTTTACTAGAGGAAAAGAGAAACCTTCATGAACATCAATAGAATTATGGGTTAGTTATTATTTGCAGTGTACGATGGGTATTCTATAAATGTTCATAAAGAATATATAATATACAATATTTTGATGAATTCACATGTGTATTTTCAAACAGATGTATTCACTATTGTTGGCACATTCACTGTTCTTTTTATTTTGTTGGGTCTTTTTAGCAACTACCTTTTTCAGCCATATTTTGGACCTGAGTAATACTCTGTTAAATTTATCTGTTTCCTAACTTTGCAGTCAGTCATTGCCTTTTATCTCTTTGTGTAGGGGCTTGGCGCTGATAGTAACCTGGTTTGCTGTGGATGGTCATCCATCCAGGAATCTATAGTGTCTCGAGTTGCTTAACTTCCATGACTTCATGGAGGGTAGTTGAGCTCTTCAGTTAAAGATGTCAGCAAACTATGTAGCTCAGATGCAGGGCCTATATCTGTCCTACAAGGTGACATGGCACTGACATAATGTATCATAATGGGCTAAAAAAATGTTCCTCGAAACATTAGTCATTTCAGTAGCTCAGTGATCACAGCAAGGCAATGTAAACCAGGAGAAGCAGTTTCAATTCCCATTGGTCCAATTCAAATTTAAATTACAAATTCTTTCAATTAAAAATTGCCACATCAATTTTGTACTATAAATTTATAAAGAAGATCCAAAATTTGCTGCAGAAGAAATTGCTGATGTAGTAAAAAAAAAAACAAAAAACAATGCATTCCTACCTCTAGATCCTCGAGGTGCTTTTTCAGTAGCAATATTTAGATTTGCTGAACCAGAGGAAAAGATGCGTCCGGGTCGCACTTTTTTCTTTGCCAAACGTGCCTGAACAGCCATAATTTTCTGCAATTCATTTTGCATTCGGGCTTCAGTTGAATTACTCTCAAGTTTTCTTTTTTTACTTTTTTGCTTTTTCCCCTCATTTCCATCCACTTCCTTTCCTGCGTTTGAAAGCTTCTGCTTTTCTGTAAAAGAAAACCAAATAAAACAAAACAGAACCTGTATGTTTTATTTTAGTTAAAACTTTGGGATAAATACACACTCCAAAAACTGCTACTTACTTTTTTCCTCTTGCCGCTCCTTTTGTGACTGGAACCATTCTCGAGTTTGCTGTGGCTGCTTTTTATCAGTTTTAACAATATTCTCTGCTTTCTTCACTTGATTTTCCATCTTCAATAACATTCGTTCCTCATACTCTTCTCGTAGGATTGCTTCAATATCTGATTCCAAAGCTTCCACTTTTTCACGATACTTAGTGATGATATCTAAAAATGCAGAAATTTTTGAAAATTAATGCTGCATGAAAACCAGATAAAACTGGAATGTTACAGGAAAACATTTGAATTTATAAATAAAAACAGTGATTTGTATGTTAAAAAACACAGTTTATTTATCTTCAATGGCAGCTTCTGAAGCTGACACACACCAAATTAAAGTATCAAACAAACAAACAAAAACACAAGACGAAGAAGAAGAAAGAAGAAAAAGAAGAAGAAAAAGAAGAAGGAGAAAAAGAAGAAGAAAGAAACATTTACAAGTAGATCACATCATATACATACATAATCAAACCCAACATCAACCCTATCATAACTGGCTATCTACCCCATCAATGGCCTTCTTATCAGGAGCCAATGCAATGCAGGCTTTCGTAAAATTAACCATCCTGACTGTCACACAGACACGTGGGAGACAGTTCCAATGATTGACAACCCAGTTGAGGAAGTGCCTCTGAGCTCAATCCTCGCATTCTCCTTCAAAATGTAAGATGATGTCTTTGAGGTCAATTGTCAATGGCCCTAAAGAAGACTCCAGAATTGTATGTATCTCATCACCTGCACCAACATTCATTATCTTTGGAACAACACTAATAGATTAACCCTGATGTGTGTATGTGAAGTTACAACTCAAATAAACCTTAAATGGTGATTTTATCATTAAAATTTTGAGATTGTATTGTTGAGGTGATTCCAATATATTTCCTCCTTGTACTATAGGTTAGGGACAATCATAATGTACATCATAATAGTGCAGCAAGGGTATTAAATCACCTTAATAGTATCATTAATATTTGATTATACATTAAATTCTATAAAATCTCACATTAAAAACAAAATTATTAATCAACAACATGGTTTTTTAAATGGTAGATCTACATTATCCAATTTACTTAAATTTACGCAATTCAAATCAGCTTTTGTTAAAAGAAAAGAAGTAAGTGCTATCTCTTCAGATTTTTCTGAAGTGTTAGATAAAGTAAATGTAAATATATTTTTAGAGATGATCATGAAGTTAAATTTGTTTGGAATTTTAATAGATTTACAGTTATTTGCATAATAGACAACAAATGTTCTTGTCTACGTTTATGATTTTAGTATTACATACATTTTATATTTTTGTATTTGCAGAATCTGAAGACAACTTACAGAAGACTTGTTGAACCATCAAAAGTGACACAGGAATATTCCATGAGAATATCAATAAGTAAAAAAAAATCCATGGTAATGCAAGGAAAGAAACAAAGAAGAGTTCAAATTGAAATAAATGGGAAAGTGGTCAAAAATTACGAGAATTTACTAACCTAGAAAACAGAATCAATGTACTAAACCACACTCAAGGAGACATTGAGAGAAAACTACATAATTATGACAGCATGTGTGGAACCATTAAATGACACTTTGGGAAGGATATGAATTCTACCACAAAATTGAAACTTCATACCAAAATATCTATACCAATGCTTCTCTATGGTTCAGAAACACTGACAAAGGAAAATAACAAGCAGAAAATACAGGCAGCACAAATTACATTCCTAAGAGACCTCTTGAAAAGAGATGGGTTGAGAAAAAAGGACATCAGAAGAAAACTAAAAACCGAAAATCACAAAAGAGATGGAAAGAACACATCTGCAGGATGGAGAGTAACAGACTACCAAAACCAATCTGGAAATATAACTCAATTGGAAACAGACATTGAAAGACCTTTAAAGAGATGGGAAAATCAGGAACACCTAGAAGATTAATCTATTAGGTCTACTGAACCAGCACAAACAGGAACAGGATCATACCTAAACACATACAGTTCATGATGATGATGATGTATTTATGTTTTTCAAGTCCTTGCAATGACTCATTCAATTGTATGTGTTACTTCAGTTCTTTATTAGTATGTATTACTGGATGAATTGTCCATGAATTTAAATAAATAATAAAATTGTTGCAAAGCAAGTATATTATTACTATTGATGGAGAGTAAAGTACCAACCATTGGGCTCACACTTAGATCCATGGCTTTCTTCACCAACATGAACATTAACCCTCATCCTGACAGGCTGTTGCTGTTGTTTAGGTAACGTTTCATACATCATAAAACAGTGCGCCATCACACACTGCATTTTGATGTTTGTGTACGCATGTCTTATTCTTTTGCATTGGCACAAGAAATGTTCTAACAACGTGAATGTTTTTCATCAAAATCTCTCTACACCAAAACAAAGTAATATTTGCTCATCAGAAAGTATTTTTGGAGTCATTTTCATTCTTACAGCTGAACTGACACGTGCTATCTTTCTAACCATCTATTTTGCTTAATCATAATTTTCTTAAAATTGTGATGGTCTTATTATTTCACAGTACATTATGTCTAAATGCTATTTATTGTCTTTCTAAACCTACCTTGAGGAATAACTCTACTTTTGGGAGGCAAACTAGCAGTTTTAATAACTTCTTTAACGACTTTATACTCCTTTTCTCCAACAAGTGAAACTGAAACACCCGAGCGCCCAGCTCGAGCAGTTCGACCAACTCTGTGAATGTAGTGTTCTAGAGTGGGAGGCATCATAAAATTGATTACTGTTTTTACTCCCACAATATCAAGACCTCTGGCAGCAACATCTGTAGCCACAAGAATATCAATTTCTTCCTCTTTGAAACGTCTGAGAGCTTCAAGACGTTGGGGTTGTGTCAAATTTCCATGCAGTTCCCCCACCTGGAAAAACATAACTATGACAATTCCTGCAAGATAGCTCAAACATTTTTATTCTGAAAACGAAGAAAATAAAAAGGAAACAAATTACTTCACATATTGTAAAACTGAAATGTAAATACAAAGTAACAATTAACTGTACAAGTTTCCAAAATTTATCAGTAATTAACCCATTAAGTAATATCATTCACTTTCAAGTTTTCTGATTATATAATTATATAAGCACAAAGCAGAATGACTGATAAAATCTTTTAAGAAGTTCTTGTGTATTGCATTTGTTGGTTTCTCCCATGTCTTTTACGTTTTAGCAACAAATAAATCTACATTCATCTGGCTTCTACAAATAAACATTCTTATTTTTCAATATCACCAAATAATATATTCACATCCTTAAAATAGAGTGAAAATGTACGTAAACTAGAGCAAATCCACATTGTTATGATCAATGCAAATCAGGATACACGTATTGCAAAAATCACCAATTACTGCAGAACCTTGTTTTAAGTAAATACTATTTGTGAAAATAATGAAGCAAATCGCTGTTACCACAGGAGGTCTAAATAGACTATACTAAAAGATGTTTTGGGGAACAAAATTAGCAATAAAAGCAACAAAAAACAACACTATCGTTTGTACTTTTGTGATGTTCATGTTTTGCAAGTTTCTAAAGAAGAGTTTGCCAAAAACCAGATCAGCACCATTTTTTTGGGTGTCCTTTGATACGAATTATGAGAAAATTTAAAGAAAAATTTGGATTAATTTTTGAGAAAATAATTGTTTAGAAATTGTTTATATTTCATGTGAATATTACTCATAGTTTCAAAAAATTGTACATGATCTTATTTCAAGGTCTGTATTGGAAAACTAGCTTTCATTAAGGAAAAAAACCCTTTTTCAATCTTCAATGGGATAGTTGTAGGAAGACATTGAAAAACATTTGACCGCCTTCCTGCAACATTCCAAAAAGTTTGTAGTTTTTGAAAGTTAAGAGATTTTAAAAAAAATCTCTTTGACACTTTCGTAAATGTTCTCCATGCTATCCAAGTACAAAGTTAAATAATAATAATAATAATAATAATAATAATAATAATAATAATAATAATAATAATAAAGAATTAAGTCATTTTTGCAAAAAATACGAGAATGTTTTTGATGCTTCATGTAAAGTATCTCCATAACTCAAAATATCCATTTCAAACTAGCAGATTCAATAAAACGGGATTTATTGGTTCCTTACACTGAATCATAAAACACATTTTTTCTGCAGCATTATAATATTTGCTACTTATGCATATGAGAAAGTAACAAAAATTCACTTACTTTAATACCCAACAGACCTAACAGGATATGAATTCTATGGGCTTGTTTCTTTGTTGGCACAAACACCATGGCATGGTCACGAAATGTGCGGCAAACCAGAGCAGCCAAGAGCGGTTCACGATCTGTTTCACGATCTGCACGTATCCTGCAACACAGAATAGTAAATGTCATAATTTTGAGAATATATAACTGCTTACTTTACACTTCTTAAAGTGTTTTTGGTATACTTTAAATATTACACAAACAAAAAATAAATTAACACTTAGGCCTGTTTATAATGTAATTTTAAGAATAATGACTGGAACATAACAACATTAACATTTTATCAATTATTGTTCATTTGAATAATAAATAAATAAAAGCAATGTTTTGTTTCATCCACATCAAGGAATATTTAAAAATTAATATGCGAGTAATATTGTTCTATTAGAATATTATCAAGGTATGCTGTAAAGAAACCTATGATTAATTCATATTAAGTAACATTCATTGAAAGTTGTGTGTGCCTAGGATGAATGTTCCTTTGTAATTTGTCTCCTCAATGTATAATTGACATTAAAGGTATAATTATTCATATGAACTTCCATCAAAACTAGCATCTGAATGTACTACACTCACCTCTACTACATCCCATGTCTGAAGCCTGTAAGATGTGTACACATTGTTTCAAACTCAAACAATACTGGGATTGGGATTTGAGTCTGTAGCGGTGAGGACATTTCAAACAATCTTCAGTCATGAGATGTAGTAGATGATACACTCAAGAGTGTGGTTTTGTGATGAAAATTTTAATCAAAGCTTACATGAACATTGATATGATTTATTAAAAACCATTATATTTAACAATAATTGGTAAAATTTATTTGTTAATATGCCTATAATTAGTAGCTGCCCTATGGCCACTGCTGGTATTAGTAGCCACTGTGTGGTCGCAAGCATCCTCTTGCTGAACAGAGCATGAGGCCACCAGTGACCAAGGAGTGCCTGTGTGAGTTACTGCTGAGGCCACATTGGAGTTAACATGTTAAATCATTGATAAAAGAAATTTACCATTTTATAAGAAAGTTCTTTTTTATGATTAGTCTGATCCATTTTATAAGAAATTTTTACATTATGTAAATACATCATATTATCACATTATATTTTTTATGTTTACCAAAATAAACAATAAGGATTATTCTATTACACACCTAATAAACTCTTGGCGAAGATTAGAAGCAACATCTTGATTGTTGTCCACAAATATCTTCACTGGCTTATTAAGAGAAACTGCAGCAAGATCTTTGACTTCCTCTGTCATAGTAGCAGAAAATAGTAATGTTTGTCGTGTACGAGAACACTGTTTGACAATTTCCTTCATTTGTGAGGCAAAGTACTCATCTAACATTCTGAAATTGTTAATTTATACAGGTTAAAAACAAAAAATATTTGAAAATATGGCAGAATCCTTTTTCCCATCTACTATTATTGATGTTTAACTCTAGAGCAGTTAAAATTTCGAGCAGTTTTTGAGAAAATCAAATTTTTAAAATTGCAAACAATATTGCGCAATTTTGAAAAAAATGTACACGGAGAACAAATTTCATTTGAACGAAAAATCTGTTATCTTCAATTTTGTAGTTGTAGGAAGAAGCTGAAAAAAATTCAAACTTTTGTAATAATCGAAAATTCAGTTATCAGTGAAAATCTGACCTTTGCCACCTTTATAAGTGTACCTTACTCTACTTTTACAAGAAACTTAAAGAAAAAGTTTTGAGCCATTTTTTAGAAAATGTTGATAATGTCCCAGGGGCTTCGTATAAAGTACTTCCAAATACTAATGAATGTTTTTCAAAACCACAGATCTTTGACTCAGGCCAAATGGACAGGGGTTTAGTCAGTTTGGAAACAATCATTGGCATTAGGGTTATTCACATACACCAGACGGATGGACGTTTTGCTGTCAATCGATTTTTCGATATCAAGGACCCACAAAATATGAATTCTGGCTACATCACATGCTAGAGGATTTGTTTTTTCTTTATTTAGCAACTGGTTTTACCCATTATTTCGTTACCAGGGCCTGAGATATGAGATAGTAAATGAGAAACTAAAAAGACCTAAAATTTAGTTGAAGCCAAAGTGGATTTTGAAATTTGCTCAAACTGGCATGCTTCACACTAATAAAATCATGCACAAAAAACTATGAAATGATTTGTAGTACACAGTCAATATAAACTTATACATAAATAAACACCAATAAATATCAGTTTATGTATAATTTTTTTCATGAATCTGATACTGTACCATGTATTAGTATATGTGAAAATAGAAAGCAATACCTGTCAGCTTCGTCTAATACCAATACTTCAATGCTATCCAGACTAAAAGAGGGCGTGTTCTTGAGGTGATCAATTAATCTACCTGGAGTTGCAATAACTACATCTGGATTCTTTCTCAGAACAGATTCCTATGAAAATTAAATTGAAATAAATTAGGTAAGACCTTATCCCTAAAACCTTGATTTTGTTTCAATCAATAAATAATATAGACATTTAATGAAAATAAATTCTGGAGCATCAGTTAAACAACACATAAAGCAATATATACACCAGAACATGCAAAACTGCTGTAAACAAGTTGGCTATACCAAGAAACCTCTTGGGGGAGCAGGCACTACTACCCAGCAGTGCCAAGCAGTTAATAAACACTCTTGCAAGGCAGCTGTGAAAATTGTATGTAATAATCTCCTACAAAATTAACTCCAGGAGGCTGTATGATTGTTAAGTATCTCAGTTAATAAAAATGATATATACTATTCTGCGTAATGAATAAAACGTGAAAAAGAGGTTGAAAAAATTTAACATTATATCATTATGGGCACTGAAGTTTATTTCCTAATTGAGAGAATTTATCACTTGTACGCAGTTTATTCAACAATCAGAATAATACACATAATTCTAGGTAACAGAAAATTTCGCTCAACTTTCACGCAGCCTCTTGAAACTAATTTTATTGGAGACCATCAATGACATTGTCATAGTCATACTGCAACAGCCAAGCCTGCGTATGCTCTGCACTCCTTCCAGGTAGTGGCGCCCACTCCTCCAAGCAGTTTCTTTGCGTCGCTAACTTGGCTCACCTGAATTTTTAAATCGAGACCACCCACAGCCAAACCAATCTCCACAGATGTGAACTGAGCGAGGCGTTTTGCAACTTCATACACCTAAAAAAACAATTCTTAAGAAATATATACCGTAAAGGCATCTCATCAAAATTAGATGCTTTTAATTACAATATTAAGCTTCTTTTATAATTGAGATTATTCAAAACTGCTTTATAATAAAACAATATTGTTCCTAGGATCAAACTTTAAATCAAAGAAATTTTAATTTCCTAGCTTTTTTACACTCAACCTCTCTCATAAAACTTAAGTCCCTAAATAGATAGATCTGAAGATTGTAAGTGTTGAAATGAAGAAAAATTAAATGAAAACATTTTAGTTTTCAATGGATTGTTTACCTGAACACCCAACTCTCGAGTTGGCACTAGCACTAGTACTCTAGTGATTGTTAAACCACGCACTGGTCGATACAACAACCTCTCCAGAGTAGGCAACATGTAAGCCGCTGTCTTTCCAGTACCAGTAGCAGCACACCCACAAATGTCTCTGCCTAAAAGAGCTACAGGAATAGTGGCTGCTTGAATTGGAGTAGGGTGTATATATCCCAACATTCCAATGGCCTGAAACAGAAATCTCCTGTAAGCTGTGAAATAGAAAAACATTTGTTTACAAGAACTAACTTTTTTCAGAAAACATCATTTTTTTAAATTTTCCCTTCTGAACTAAAATTTTTTGTCTCTCTGAAAGTTGCGCAAAGGATTCTGAGAACGCACTTTTGATCAATCCAAACTGAATTTCTAATCCTGGATCTATCAACAAACACCATGAACACACCCCAAAAACATCTTCCTCTATCAACTTTTCTTATCTTAAAAAATTTACCTTCATCAATGGGCGGGAAAGATTCATCTGATAAAACGAAGAATTTTCATCATAAGGAGGAGCATCTTCAAAAAAGTCTACATTTTCTTCTCCTTCAACATTGACCACTCCTTTCTTGACTTTTTTCACAGACGATTGTTTGATTTTTATTTCATCTAAAACGAGGTAAATAGAATATTAGTTTAAAAAATAATCCTTTTTATTAGCCAAATTGACACATTATTTAAAAATATTAGTTTTAAGTCATAACGATAATGATTATGATTAGTGTCCAAGCAGAGATTACACATCTCTGCGTAATGTTTTATAAAACCTTTTTGCTTATAAAATTTCCTGAAAGGCCAACAGTTATTTTCTGGTGGGAATTTTTGCTGCAGTAAGACATAAAAACAAATTTCAAGAGGGTGGTTTGACTTTGTGTAATTTCTTGAAATTTGATACACACCAATGATATTACAAAACAAGGGTAAACAAAATTAATGAGTGGTAAAGATGTGAATAATCAGATCTTTATGTAGGCTTACAGCAGATTAAGCCTTGCAATTACTAACCAAAACATTTGTATGGCATTAAAGACTCTGAAAGAGAGAAAGTAGCACTCTCATATTTTCATTCACAGAACTACGAATATATTTTGTAGTTTTCTTATTCTATCAAAATCAATGAATTGAAACTACATATAATTTATATGGATATTTTAAACATCATTCAATCTCTAGTAACATTTATCAATGTTAAAAATTTGATTTCTTTCGAAAAGAAAAAAACATTTTTGTTAATTGAACTTTTGAATATTTAAATTTATTAAGCAATTGATGCAATGCGCAAATGAGGCATTGGGGCCTTATTTATTGTCCTGTTTCTGGGTTCAGGTCAAAGTTGCTGACTTGGGAGGATTCAAGTATATCTTCAGTTACGAGGACTTGATAGTATAGATAAATTAGTGATAGTGAAATAATAGGGGATTTTCCTCAATTTTCACCCATCACTTCACAAACTGAGTCTGCTAGACCTGGTCAACTTCATGCTCTTCAGAAAATGTTGTAGGTTACGAGAATACTTTGATTTATTGTCTTCCTTTCATTGTTGCTTCCATTTCTTTTCTTAATAATAATGTTTTTAGTGGTTAATGTTAGTAGTGAGGCTGAGGTTTAAAAGTCATTCTTATTTCAGTAATTCATTCTATTAAACATGAATGAAACTTATCGATATTCATACTGGTGTATTTCGAGAACTTAAGTTTAAGGCCTAAATGACTGTATTAGAGGTACTAATGTTGATTCCTTTTTGGGATGAGGCAACAATGGAAAATCATATGGTGGCTCCTGCAGGATGTCCCTAAAATCACTTTATGGTTCTGAGTTTAAGAACCTATTAATGAAATTAAACAACAATTTGAAATGGAACCTTATATTTAGTGTCCTACTATGGTCTATAATGAATTACTAATATGAGAGTTTGATACCATCCCAACATTTTAGATGGGTTACCTCTAGTATATTATGAAATTTTAAAATTGTACTCAAAATACATGCCTTCCAAATTTGAACCCCCCTGTGAAAGTGAATTAGTTGCTATGTGTGTGGACTTAAGGAAAGGAAAATTTTATTTTGAGTTGTTGTTCAAATATTGTTCAAATAAGGATTGAACTAATGAACAAGGTTCCTAGAAATGATCATTTTTTTTCCTTTTTTGCATACATAAGTATATACAGAGTAATATACCAAATATAGAGAATGTTATGCTATGCTGTGGCAAATTGCAGTGAAGCAGAAAGACTTGTCTTCTGTGACCCTGACACAGAAAATGTGGATAAATCCATTTCTAAAATGTGGTAAATTACTCCCTCTAACACGTTATCTAGAGAGATTTAAAAAAGTGTGGGTCCTTGATACCGAAAAAGTTTTCTTTCAAATTTGAGGGTACTATACATGAAGGCAAAGGGACATTTTCTCAAAAATGGCTCCAAATTTTGTCTTTAAATCTTTTGAAACAATACAATAAAATGCACTTATAAGGATGGCATAGGCCGTTTGTCACAGTTAACTCTGAATATTTAAAAAGTTTGAATATTTTTCAGCTCTTCCTTCTAATACAGAACTGGAGATAGAGATTTTTCCTTCTAGTCAATTTTTTCCCCATAGTTATTTCATTAAGGTCATGCATATTTTTTGAACATTTTAGTAGATATCGCACAATATTAAAAAAAAACAAAAATTAGATTGTCTCAAAACCACTAAAAATTTTTTCTTTAAAATTTTCGTAGGGATGTTGCTAAATGTACTACATAAACATAAATGCTATATTTGTTTGTTTTTAAAAGCTACAAAATTGTTCATTTTTTTTACTTCTCTCTCATGCTAATATTTATAATAGAGGCAACTTGTTCACATTATTGAATTTATGAGCATATATGCACCAAATGAAGTCAAAGTTTCTCAAAAACTGAAAAGTTGTTAGTGAAAATGAGATCAAAGTTCCACATTTTCAGGAATGTTTAAATATTATTTTCTCAAAATCAGCTCCAAATGTTTTCTTCAAACTTTTAAAATGAATAGTGCTAATTGCACTGTTTAATATGACATAAAATTCCCTTTGCTGTATTCTTTTCTTTTTTAAAGAATTATGCTTTTTTTTTTAATATCATAACTATATCTATACTCATTTACAGCAGTTATTGCATTTGTGAGTGCAAGTGCTCCAAATACTTCCAATGAAGTTTTTCGAAAACTGAAAAGTTTTTATGAAATAAGAGTTTCAAATTTTGCTTTTACAATAACGCTTAAACACCAATCCTCAAAAACAGCTAGCAATTTCTTAAGAAATGTTTTTATATATTACATTTTACTCTTCTTTAATATTTTGAAAGAAATATTTTGATTCTACCATTAAAAAAACTGAGAAAATTAAAAAAAAAAAATCTTTTAGAGTGGTCATGGATGGCAACGCAAGAGTACATGGCAAGTCCAAAATGCTAGCCCAGAACAAAGAAATTAGAAAACTAACTAGTACAAGAAAATCTGCCATTCTGTAATACCATTAGTTTACAGCTGACACACTGAATATTTTCAATGTTCACCTCCTCCTAAAGAGTATTTTATTTATCAGTGAAGGGCAATTGTATCTTGAGTTAATATTCAATACATTTACGGTATCCAAAGGAAAAAAATGCCTATTTTAGAAGATTGGAATGCAGTAACATTAGTGAGATTTGAGTTTTTTCGGGTTTCTTTAAGAATATTTCCTATTACAAAATTCTGACGATTCAGAATCCAGGAATGATAAATGCAGCGACACTTTCATTATGCCAAGTATTCATTACCCAGCGAAGATTTTTTGCCGAGAAGTTGTTTTAAATGGGTCAAAGTTTCTCGTTAGAGGAATTAAAGTGCAGCATTTTTTGAAATTTATTCCTGGAATAAGTGTCCTGGTACCTACAGGAACTTTCCAGTAGGGTTTCAATGTCTTTAACTGTGAAGAAATAAAACATTAAATTTTTCTACTACCCAGCTCCTTCCCAACAGGTATGCTCCCTGGGCTGTGAGGCAGCCACAAACATTGAAGTTTAGAAAATATTTGAAGTTAGGCCTGAAGTTCCCTCAGCGAAAGACTCTAGATTATGTAATCTTTAAAATTTTGGAAAAAAATTAAATATTTTATTATGAAGTGAAAGTGTTTTTTGTGTTTAACAGTCAATCAAGTACTTGTAATTTACTCAACTTGCACGATCTGTAACTCTTGTGGATTATAGAGGTGTGTCAGGCCTCTGAGCCCCATTTACGCAACTTGTTCAGCTGCTGCTTGATGTGTCAGCAGTTAATATGCATGCAGGAGAAACACCATATTTCTTACTCTTAAGTTTTAAATTACAAACCATGTTTTAGTTCATCCTCTGATAATGAAATATCACTTTCTTCCACATTTTCTTCTTCACTTTCTTCTGAACTAATAATAACTTCATCTTCATCTCCAGATTTTTTTGTTGGCTGAAATGTAATAGAATTTGTTATAATATATAATTCACAGAAACACAGGGTACAGAAAACAATACATTGGACACATCATAAGAACTTTCAGAGTTGAAGTGCAGTTTACCTTGCTTTTTCTCTCAGTGCGAGCTTTCAGGATCTTCTCATCCACACCACTTTTCCCTTTACGTCGGATATACTTCTGGATATCGTTCCACTCAGGAGTGGTAGATTTGCCTCCAGAATCAATTCCAAATTGAAAGTCTGCTTCAAAATCTCCTGTTTTCTTTCTTTTTTGTTTAGTGGGTTGATACTGTTAACAAATTCAATGACGTTGAGTAGCATTTCCCAAAATTAACAAATAAATGCTTCTCAGGTACAAATACAAACACTCAAATTTTAACTGCGCACAACTGACATACCTCGACTTCTACATCTGAATCCTCAGAAAAATCTTCTACTTCATCGCCATCATAAATAGTTTTAATAAGATCAATACCTTTAGGGACCATTATTGGTCTCTATCGGATCACTACTATATAACCCTCGGCCAAAGTTGACTTCACAAACTTTTCAATCAATATTCATATAAACGCATGCAACACCGGACTGCGACCACCAAACCACACGCACATGCAGTGCACATGCCCACACACATATATATATATTTATTCTCTGTGCGCATCCAAAGAGTAGTATAGTAAGCGATAACTACTCTTTGGAAAGTAGATGGAGAAGTAAAGAGTAAAGACCGTACACTCCGATTTAAATACAAAGACACTTAAAGGTCAATGCTGGAAGAAGCGGGGGACATTTTCGTCCAATCGAGAGCTCAAATACCAAAAATATCAGTCGTAAGGAAACTCTCGATTGGATACCCTCCTCTCCCCAGATACGTGTCCCCTTTACTCTCTGGTGTCCCCTTTCCGTCCAGCTTGTGATCTTAAAGGGTCACTATGTTTAAATCGGATTTACAGTCAAACTCAGCATGTTCAAGAATAGAAGTGTCAACGCTCAATTTTAAAACAAACATTTTGGCGCTAATTCACACTTCTCGCACACGGCACTGTGAATGAAAAGTTTTTTATTGAATAAATTAGCGGACAATTTGACAGTGCGGTGATTAGTTGATTATTATAAACATGGTGTGTAAGTGGATTTTTATCTTAAAATCGGAGAGGCAGAATAAATACAAACATTTGGAAAAATGAGTAAAAATTATTTTGGTTAAATGTGAGATAGTCGTAGTGATACTTGCGTATCTTATCACGTAAATACGTTTTCAGTTCCGAAGCGTGAAGATTTCAAAATAAATAGGTAGAAAAAATAAGGAAATAAAAAAGCAAAGGCGACTTATACACCCCCCCCCCCGCCAGCATTGAACATTGTTATGAGAAATGTGGTAAGAACACAAAGAATTATTCTTAAACAGTAAGAAAAATTTTAAACATGTAAAATAAAATCAATTAAATATAACCAACTGAAAAATGCTTTACCTATACAATAACAATTAGAAGCTAGAGGTGCTACAGAATAGCACAGAGTTTCTGTACTAATTGGTTTCCTTTTCTCTTGGGTCACTATAAGCTCAAAAATGTCATTGGCCTAGAATTACTCTGGCACAACCTCACCATAAACACCTAACAATCATTGAAAAAGTAAAAGCAAGACTTCTAAAGAGAGCTTTAAGTTTACCAAAAAAAACTCGCTTTCAAGACTTGTTCATGTGCTAAATAAAGAAACCTCTTTCATAGACCTCAGATTAGGATTTCTGCTGCCATCAACTCATCAATACCGGACAACCTTAGAGGGCCAAAAAAGGAAAAAGAAAAGAAGAAACTGGGGAGTTCTACTGCACCGACGCCATGGTGAACAGAGACGTCCCGGGCAAACCAAGATCTCCGACACGACACACGACTGGCCGTGCATGGTTTCCATCACAAAATATGTTCAAACAAAACGTTTCACGAGGCAAATGATATGTGCGTGTGTGAACTGTGCGGGAATATGTGCGAGCTCTACAATTTCAAAAATGCATTCAAAAATGCCCCCAGAAAGTAAAATCTCTGGTGGATTGTAGCAAGGAATAAACTTAAAAACTATGTCCTGTAGACCACAATTCAAGAAACTTAACATACTTCCACTGTCTTGTATATTCATTTACAAATCACTCATGTTCGTAAAGAAAAATCTAATAAAAAACGACACGTCTTACAAATTTAACTCAAGCTTACACTCTTACAACACAAGGCAAGCATATAACCTTCATAAATCATTGTGCAAAGCATACTATACCAAATGATACATTTTCTACAGGAATACAATTCTTCAACAAATTACCAATACATCTGAAAAACGTAACAGAATTACACAACTTCGAATATAAACTTAAACACTTCCTTGGGCAAAAACTTTTTTATAGTTTTCAGGAATACCTCAGTAACTAATATGTGCAATCTTATTTCAGGTCCTGCAGTAGAACTAGGTGTAGAAAAGGAAAAATTTGGACAAAACCTGCCCCCTAATCCTCACCATTTGAAGATCTGAACATTGAGTGTACTAGTTGTTACCATAATTGATATCATGTATTATTATTATTATTATTATTATTATTATTATTATTATTATTATTATAAGTAGTAGCAGTAAAATGGCAACAATAAAGAAATTTTACTTTTACCTTGAACATGAAACAATACAAATCTTGAAATGTTAAATTATTTTGCTATAAAAAATAATTATCTACTGGATAATATCTTAATCTATCTATGACAAGTGTTGTAGCATAATTCCTAGGACAATGACCCCATCTCGAACAGGTTTTTTGTACAGTTACCCGGGTACTTCAAGCAAATGCTGAGATGGCTCCTTGTTTTGCTTCTGGACAATAATGTAACTTCACTCTCTGCACCCAAATATCATATTGACTCGTCATACACGATTGGGTATGTAACTCAATAAATTATTATTATTATTATTATTATTATTATTATTATTATTATTATTATTATTATTATTATTATTATTATTACTATTACTCTTATGCACATTCGTGCGCTTGCCAGAGAATCTCGTTGTTCCTACCGCTTTTCTGGAAACATTCCCTATGAAGTACCTTCGTCCCACACAACACGCAGGGTGTCTCGGGCCTGTATCTATACACACGAGTATTTGCCCTTGGTATCACTTGGTCCCATCTTCATGAGTTACATGTATTAAACCCTCACTTTCTCATGAGCCCCTGAATACTTGTACTTACACCAATTTTATTAAGGTTAGTTGAGTTCAACAACAAATTATAGCAATGAACGTTTTTGACAAACTCTGGTACCCAGAAATGTTTCGCTGTGTAATAAAAACCATTTTGCAATCGGAAAACCGAGCTTACAAATTTGATATAATAGTCTGTCGTCCAAATAGACCAAACTACCGCCTCCTCATCCATCTCACGAAATGAAGGCTTAAGAAAACGTGCGCGGATAACTGCCGACTGCAATGAAATTGATAGGTAGATTTTAGATTTATTTGGCCAAAAAAACTGTATGTGAGCGTATGGGGAGAAGTCATCTGCGACGTTTTCTGAGTTCCAGAATCCCTTCCCATAATTTTAACTATAAAACAGTTGAAAAGTGAAGGTAAAGTTAAATATAAATAAATAAAAATAAAATTTTAAAAGATAGCGTGAGATTACGGCATTGAAAAACGTGACATTTTTGCGTTCCCGAGTTATAGAAAACGTATTTGCAACGATAACTAACCGAAGATTTTTATTTTCCCTGCACTATCTAACACAAAATAGTAACTTCGCACTTACCTCTAGCTCGCTTCAATTACAAGCAAAAAGGAGAATTTCAACCAAAA